TTGACAGAAATCTGTACATTTTGGCCTGTTTGAGTGCTTTGTGTTGTATGAAAGCATGACCGCTCTATCTTTTGGAATCAAAATGTTATTTCATAGAAAAACAGTCATGTTGATAATAAAACAAATCAAATTATTAGAATATTTAGGTGGTCTTGTTTGGGTTGGTTCACTAGTTTAGTGATCCAGCATTCCCCTCAGGTAGAGGGGTCCAGCTTAGCCTGCAGCTCCTTCACGCCTTGCTCCAGGCTCTCTCTCAGCTCCTCACTCTTCTGGAGCACAGTGGCCTTCAGGTCCTCAAAATCCAGGGATTCTCTTATGTATTCCGCACCCTTCTCAAATGGACTGGTGACATATTCAATGTAGGGCTTCAGTGCGCATCTCACAGTGCTCACTTCCACCTCTATACGCTCCCTCAGCATGTCAACACCTTTGGTGATTTTGGTCATCAGATCTTTAGCCAGAGGATCCATCTGTTCCTTTAGTTTTGTGGTGTACTGGCTGGCCATATCAACATTTTCTGTTAGTCCATCACTAGAAATGCTGAAGGAAGTTATTACTATAGCAACTGTTTCCTCGACTTACTTGATTTCTTGCCCCAGTTGGGAAGTCCTACTCTTGGCTCATTCAAAATAGCTCCTGAATGCATCAGTCAACTGCTCCAGCTGTGGCTTAGGCTCATCTGCATAGAATAGGTTGGCTTGGCAACCTGCAGATATATGTTCAAGTAATATCATGTTTTATTATGCCTTATACAAATATTTCTGTTAGCTTAAAGCATGGCATATATTCTGCCATCCACAAAATATGTAATATGAATAGTGACCGACCGTAAAGATATTTTCAGTAACATCGTGATAATATTTGCTTAATCTGTTTTTGTAATATGTCTAACCTGTACACACAACCAATGCAATGACCAGGAGTATCTTCATTATTTCCATTATTTTGGCCTGTAAGAAAAATAGATCTGAGTCAGTGTGTATTGATTAAAATTATATACAATTAATATAATAGTAATAATAATACATTTAAATATAAAATAAAATAAAATAAATAATAATACAATACAAACATATTTAAATATTTTTTGTCCCTTCTGATACTTACCTATCAGTGTGTTTAAATTCACGCTGTCCAGTCTGAAGTTGTATTGTGGAGGTATTGGCTGCATATCTCCATTTATATACCACAGAGAAATGGTTGTCGCAATGAAAACCCAAAGTTCAGTGGGTAGTGCCTGACTGTCATGATTACTCCATAACAAAATTTCCAAGATTGGGACTTTTTGTCACAACAGATCATCACGTTTCCTGCGTAGCTAAAAGCAATGGTCACTTAAGAACAAATATAGGGCAGTCTCTGATCATCATCACAACAACAATTATGGTATTTTGGCAGAAAATAATCATGTTTACATTTGAGTGTCGATTTATTGTTTACATTAGCAGATGACTATGATTTTTTAAACACTTATTAAGTAATAACTTTAATGTTGTGTTTAATTTAGGACACAGTTGTCAGTTATTGCCTACCGAAAAAATAAAATAAAATGTTTGATATACACTGCCGTTCAAAAGTTTGGGATCAGTAAGATTTTTAATGTTTTTTAATGGAGCCTCTTGTGCTCATCAAGGCTGTATTTATTTGATCAAAAATACAGAAAAAAAACTAATATTGTGAGATATTATTTCAATTTCTAATATTGGTTTTCTGTTTTAATACACTTTAAAATATAATTTATTTCTGTGACAAAGCTGAATTTTCAGCATCATTACTCCAGTCTTCAGTGTCGCATGATCCTTCAGAAATCGTTATAATATGCTGATTTATTATCAGTGCTGGAAACAGTTGTGCTGCTTCATGTTTTTTCTGGATTCTTTTATGAATAAAAGGTTAAAAAGAACAGCATTTATTTAAAATTAAAATATTTTCTAACAGTATTAGTCTTTACTATCACTTTTTATCCATTTAACAAATCCTTGCTGAATAAAAGTATTCATTACTTTCAAAAAAAAAGAAGAGTTTGGAAAAGACTCAACTTTTTGTTTTTTGTTTGATTTCTTAATATGGGTGTGTCTCACATAAATCAAAAAAAAAAAGCACCATTCTGTTAATAAATAATATTTTATTCATCATTAAAATAAGATCAATTGTGGCATTTGTAAACTTACAAAGGAATATAGGAATATCACACATTTTCCTCAAAAATAATGTTTCTTATTTTTACTAAATAAATATCCACCTTTAAACAGAAAAAAAGAGAATTTACATATGTAAAGGACATTGGATATTGCACATTTTAATTAATGAGACTTTATCGAATGTTTTGCTTTTGGCTTTAGTGTAGAGCATGGTAGGATGAATAAATGGAGGACAACAGATCAAATATGTCAAATGTTGAAGTTCATGAGTAGTTCTGTAGTTCTGTTAGTGACAAAAGCATCTAATTTCTCTTGAAGAAGGACTCGTACAGGGAGGTGAGCTGGGCCTGCAGGTCCTGTGCGTAGGGGTCCAGCTTTTCCTTCAGGTCTTCAGCGTAGGGTGTGAGACTCTGCTGGACCATCTGGGCTCTCTCTCTAATCTGGGCCTGGAGGTCCTCAGTCAGGGGGGTCACGGTCTTCTGGAACTCCTGCAGATGTTGATCCACTTTCTGCTTGATCTCAGCAGTGTAGGGCTCCAGCTGAGCCTGCAGCTCCTTCACGCTCTGCTCCATGTTTCCTCTCAGCTCCTCGCTCTTCTGGAGCAGAGTGGCCTTCAGGGTCTCAGAATCCAGGGAGTCAGCATATGGACCCATGGCCGTCCTAAGCTGCTCCACTCTCTGCTGGATCTGGCTCTTGAGATTGTCAGCATAGGGCTCCAGTTTGTCTCTCACGCTGACCAGGTCCTGGCCCAGACGCTCTCTCAACACTTCAGCCTCCTTGGTGATTTTGGTCATCAGCTCTTCAGTCAGAGGATCCATCTGTTTCTTGAGGGTGACGGCATATTCGCTGGCCATATCGGCACTCTGGGTCAGTCTGGCACTGTGATATGAAGAAGAACATTTGAGTTTCTTCTCAGTGCGCAAGAAATAACTGTGTCCTGCAAGTAAATGTTCTTGACTTACTTGACTTCCTGTCCCAGCTGGGAAGACCTGATCATCTTGACGGTTTCCTCTGCGGTTTGTGTTGCCTTCGCAACATAGCTCCAGAAAGCATCGGTCAGCTGCTCCAGCTGTAGCTTGGGCTCATCAGCATAGAAGAGGTTGGCCTGGCAACCTGTTGATGGAGCATTTCAGAATGATTAAATTGTATTGTTAGTACATACTGTGAATGTATCAAGCCAGAAACATTTTTACCTGTAAATACAGCAATTGCAAGCACCACAAGAACCTTCATGGTGTTCTGTTTTAGTCTGTAAGTAAAAGACTTTTAATCAATGTCTCTTTTACATACATTTATGTTTAAAATGCAGCGTTTTGAATTGACTGAAAAGTAAGGCTGTCTTCTTACCTGTGTCAATGTGTTTTAATTGACGCTGTCCTGTCTGAAGAACAGGTGTGAATGTGGCTGTTTCACATCTGTATTTATATCGCATGGGGAGGTGGTTGTCGTAGTGGAAGCCCAAAGTCCAGTGGGTAGTGCCTTGCTGTCACTACTCCACATCACAACGTCCTGACTGTACCTTCAACCACCACAGACTCTCAAATTCAGTGCAGATAATGATAAGAGTGGAACTTTGTCTTTGAAAGCAGTAATTAATTTCTTGATGGAATTTTTAATGGGTCAAAATAAGTGTGTAAATTATTTTAGGGTTAGCACGTAACATGACACAGATGTCATTAAAATAATTAAAAAATAAAATAAAATAGAATTTCACACTGCCTAAAAACAAACAAGAAATCTACATATAAAAATATATTTATATTAAAAAATAATAGCTTATATTAGTTATAATTTAATAAAAAATCTGATAAAAATCTTAAAACCCAAAAAAAGTAATCCTGAATAATCTAATTATTTAAAATCCATCTTAAACCAGACAGAGCCCCAAGTTTGAACATTTGACCTAATAAAACAGCAAATGATAAAAGACGTTCTACACGCCCTGATAAGATCTGACACGTCACTCAAAACCTCATTTCTGTTTCTGCTGGATTTAGGCAGCTTTACGCTTTTCCTTCAGCCTTAAATCTAGGAGTAAACTTTATTAACAATGATAATAATTTGCCATTTATTAGGTAATATATAAATAGTTTCAAAGGATATAGACTCCAGAGACTGATCCTGTAAGTATCCCATGGAATTGTCATGACCAATAATAGGGCTGAAAGTACAGAAAGCTGTTTAATTATTCATTAACATCATTCATAAGGAAATACAGCATACATTGTATACAAGAATATAATCAGTTATTAAATTTTTTTTTGGTTGTTTTTATTACACAGTCATTCTCCAAGGCAGTACTCATTAAGTTTTGTGTTGTGCATAATTTCTTTGTATGACACAATTGATCCGTTTTTTTTTTTTTGCCTTATTATAAATGAAACTGCATTTTTTCACCACTAGAGAGCACTGTCACTGCTAGTGAAGCCGTATGAGTTAGTATTCCTTTTATTTATTTATTAAATACATTTTACATCATTGATGTTATTATGAATTCCTGCACAGAAGCAAAACATTGAGATCATGGGAGATGAGTACACAAATCAAGCCTGAAGTGAAAAATCAAACTCAAATGAAGCAATTGTAGAAAATGTTTCAAATTTAGCTAAAATATTGATAGAGTCTAAATTATTAAAGGATCTCAAGAAAACTTAATGTGCTTCCTTAAATCAAATATATGATGTGCTAAAATTAACAGTTCTTTTTATCATAGATTTATTAATGTGCATAATTCGAAAATAAGTCTTCATCGCATAGTCTGGCATAACAAATAGCGCAAGCACAGAGTTATTAAACTCATAGGTTTTTCTAAATTGGACATGCAGTCTTATGTATCAGTGACAAATGATAATAGATGGCCGATGTTTTATTGTTGCAATAACAAGAAAAGAAAAAAACTAAAAACATCACAATGTAACAGAAAGAGGAAAGAGAACTCCAAAGTAACTCTGCAGATTAAATATGGGCCTAGAGATCTTCAGGTGATGCAGCAAAATAGTTTTGCATTTCCTGCAGATATTGGCCCACATTATCCTTGAGTTCAGCAGTGTAGGGCTCCATCTGAGCCTGCAGCTCCTTCACGCTCTGCTCCATGTTTCCTCTCAGCTCCTCACTCTTCTGGAGCAGAGTGGCCTTCAGGGTCTCAGAATCCAGGGAGTCAGCATATGGACCCATGGCCGTCCTGAGCTGCTCCACTCTCTCCTGAATCTGGCTCTTGAGGTTATCAGCATAGGGCTCCAGTTTGTCTCTTATGATGTTCATGTCCTTTTCCAAACGCTCCCTCAACACGTCAGCCTCCTTGGTGATTTTGGTCATCTGATCTTCAGATGAAGGAGTCTGTGTTAGTCTAGTGTAGAGAAGAAAGGTATAATTTATGTCTGGTAACAGGAAATATTACTAATTCATTATGCTTATAATAATAATGGTGGTAAATTTGGCTTACTTGACTTCCCGTCCCAGCTGGGATGTCCTTATCACATTTGATGTTTCGTCAGTGGGATGTACTGCTTTGGCAATGTAGTTCCAGAATGCAGTTATTAAGTGTTCAAGATGTGGACTGGGCTTCTCTGCATTAGATAAATTGGCTTGGCAACCTGGGGATACAGCATATCAGATGATTCAAAAGTCATTTAGTCATGTATTTTTATAATTTAGCTTCTTCAAACAATGTAGAAAGAGTTCCGGTATGTTTCCTTCAAGGAATTCATACATAGGCATACTATGTGTGCATAATATTTGCCTACAAAACTATTTTCAAGCGTCTACACACAATTCTACATTAAAAGTGTTTTAAGATCAGGTGAAACAAATTCATGTGTTCATGTGTTCGTGTGTCAACTTTCTGAAAACATCATCCACTGTGAACACTAATGTAATTTAAATGTATTTAATATCCTGTTTGGATTATATTATATTATATTATATTATATTATATTATATTATATTATATTTTTAAAGTTATTTCTACAGTTATATCTAACTAACCTGTAAAAACAGCCAATGCAAGAACCGCAAGAACCTTCATGGTTTTCTGGCTTCGCCTGTAAAATAACAACACATCTGTTTAATTTAAATAATTTAATCATATTTTACATACAATATATTTTGATCTAATAAACAGTGAATTTCTCTTCTTACCTTTGTCAGTATGATTTAATTGACCCTGTCCGGAGTGAGAGTAAGTGTGGTGATTGCTGTTTTATAGCTGTATTTATATAGCATTGGGAATATATTTTAATATCTCCAGTGGATGTTTATATCTAGATACTTCGTGTCTACAGACTCTTTGTCCCAAGATGTGCAGGTCTGGATGTCACTTGAAAGCACCAGGCCCATGAGTTAATGCAAACACCTGCGTCAGCACTGATAATGAAGTACAGACATTATGTTAATGCATGTTCTATCGTTAGTTCAACAAGAAGAGACTGGAACAGGTCCACCTTTGGAAAGTCCTTAACCTTATCTAATCTTTAGTATGTGTTAAAAGAAATCAGTTGAGATGACCTTTATCATTTCTGCATGATTTGTCAGTTTCTTTATTTAAAGATTTTTTTACACACTTACAGACTTTTTAGAAATAGTGTATTTCTGTCTGTGTATTAGATTTGGTATCAAATGCCATATTTCAACCTTTCAAATCATACAGTCACTCTTTTATTATTATTAAAAGCACTTCTCATGGTTAGATAACTAGACCCTATTTTTATAGAAATTATAACATATTTTGTCTGGTGATTTTATTAAAAAGTATGTCAACTTGGCCTTGTGCATTTTCAGGGCTACTTAAATTTAATATTTTGAAGTATATACATTTACATTTAGTCATTTAGCAGATGCTTTTATCCAAAGCGACTTACAAATGAGGAAAATAGAAGCAATCAAAACCAACAAAAGAGCAAAAATATGCTTTATAAGTTATAAGTATATGAAACTATAGTTGTGCTGAACACAATTGGGCAAGTAAAATAGTTAGAAACATTGTGTTAATAAATGGCAGATGTTTTAATGTTGCATAAATACGACAAACGATACACTTGGCATTAGCAAGAAACAACATTTTCTGTCAGACATACTAAAGACTTGCTAAATTGAAATAAATACACTTCAGCTAGAAAAGAGCAACATTTCTGCATCTGTATAAATGGTTAAAGTGTAAACAACAGGATATCAGCAAAAATAATCACTCTTTTTCTCTATATTAGTGTTTGGTCTACATGTAAGACCAAAGATATTGTTGTTGCCTAGTAGTTTCATTTAGGTCATGGTTATTGGAGAGATATGAGATTTTAGAGTCACGATGGAAGGAAAAACAGTTCTGTTAGTGACAAAAGAGGTCTTTGAAGCATCTAATTTCTCTTCACGAAGGACTCATACAGGGAGGTGAGCTGGGCCTTCAGGTCCTGTGCGTAGGGATCCAGCTTTTCTTTCAGGTCTTCAGCGTAGGGTGTGAGACTCTGCTGGACCATCTGGGCTCTCTCTCTGATCTGGGCCTGAAGATCCTCAGCCAGAGGGGTCACGGTCTTCTGGAACTCCTGCAGACGCTGGTCCACTTTCTCCTTGATCTCAGCAGTGTAGGGCTCCAGCTGAGCCTGCAGCTCCTTCACGCTCTGCTCCATGTTTCCTCTCAGCTCCTCGCTCTTCTGGAGCAGAGTGGCCTTCAGGGTCTCAGAATCCAGGGAGTCAGCATATGGAGCCATGGCCGTCCTGAGCTGCTCCACTCTCTGCTGGATCTGGCTCTTGAGGTTGTCAGCATAGGGCTCCAGTTTGTCTCTCACGCTGATCAGGTCCTGGTCCAGACGCTCTCTCAACACTTCAGCCTCCTTGGTGATTTTGGTCATCAGCTCTTCAGTCAGAGGATCTATCTGTTTCTTGAGGGTGACGGCATATTCGCTGGCCATATCGGCACTCAAAGTCCATCATCCAGTGCCATGCTGTCAGTGCCGCTCCCCCCAGTCACTTCAGCCTGCTGTCACATGATGTTGTGCTTTGAACCTACTGATACCGAGTCTCCATACAAATGGATCTCCACAGAAATCACAGAGTCATGGTGTATTCAGTGGGTATTATAACATTTAGCATTTAGCTCAGTATCAGCTGTTAGCTTTAAATAATAGTATTTCAGAAAATGAACCCGATTTTTGAATTTAGTTCATTTGTCAAAATAATTCACAGATGATCAGTGACTGATTAATTTTAGTTTACTTTATTTAATATCACATTAAATAATGGCTTTTTAAAGAAAGTGGCAGAAAAGTTTAAAGTGTTTTTTTTTCTTCATATTTTTAATTAGGCACTATAAAATTATGACCTTTGTGCCGCCAGTTAGTTCAGATTGGGATGTGAACTTTGAACTGAGGGTGTATGGGGATAGTTGTCTTATACATATGGCAGCATCCCCTTTCCGTTTTGTTTTTCAATATTTTATGTTGTAAAACATTTTATATTAAATTTTTTATTTTTTTTGGCAATTTACTTTATACACCAAAAAGAAACAAGGAAAAAAAGAAACAGTTTTGTCATGGTATATTCAGTAGAAAAGTTATGACTTGAGAAAGTGATTTTAATGAATGGGGACTGAGCCTTTCAAGCTTCAATATATGGAACAGCTCCATAAAAGTATCATAATAGACCAGGTCTCAAGCCACAGGATATGTTTATATGTGACAAGTTGAAACAACCAAAAATAATAAGATAATAATGTCTCAACTCAATTTAATTGTAATTGCATGGAAAAGTGCAACAAGTACATTATTTAAAATATCTCCTTTTTGTGTTTCACAGAAGAAAAAAGTCATATAGTACAGGTTTGGAATGACATGGGGATGAGTAAATTATGACAGAATTTTCATTTTTGAGTGAACTATTTCTTTAAGTGCTTGTGAATAAAAATAGCAACATAGGAAACACTAAGCATTAAATATAGTCATGCTTGTGTTGGGTTACATGAGCTATTTTTCTGATTTAGATGGTCTGTGACTGTGGAAAGGTGATCGATTGTTCAGATTAAGGACAATGGTGCTTTTGTTGACTAGTTTTTGTTGACCAAATTCCATGGGGATTTCGAAAAAGAACGTTTATTTCATAAAATAACTAATAACAAATGTATTAAAAAGATTCTTTAAATGCTATTATTAGTACGTTTGAAATTTTAACACATCACATTCACTTAGACTGTATATGTTTAGAGTACATAATTTAATGTCATCAGTTGTGTTGAGCTTTGATTTGCATGGGTGAGCAGCTGTTTTCACATGAAGAAAACTACTACTTAGTGTACTAGTTTACACTAAGTGGCTGGTTCAGCAGACACACCTCTCCCGTCATTCAGCCAGCATGGAGGGGCAGAGTCCACTTACAACACTTCAACTGGATATCTTGATTTCCTCCACAAATAAACAACATTTACTGTAACCTTGGGCATTCAGAGCACAGATCACAGTGTGACCTAGATGCATGTAAATAGAATACAAAGGAATTTCTACTTGTACATTGGTAAACATACAGTCATGTTTCTGTCCTGGATTATTGTTGGTACGATCTGAGCATTATTTATTTATTTGTCCGTGAGTGTTTGCAGTGGCATGGATGCCCATTGAAGCTTACAGTGACAAATGCATTACTGTCACAAATACACAAGGAGTTTGACTTAAACAAGCTGTGTTTTGCACTGCCAGACATCTAGACGTCATCCACAGATTGGCATTGTGCTAATGCATGCAGGCAAGCACATGTTCGTTTGGCCACTGTCGGCAAAGACAGTGCCTCCTTCACTGATGAACCGATTAGATATCTGAGGCTTTGATAAAGAAAGGTCAGCATATGCATACAAAGACTTGTTTGTGTACTTAGGTTGTGCCTGAGTTGATGCAACACAAACTGGAGCATGTGTGTTTGTGACATACAAAAGATACGTAGAATTCACTTAATAATCACTTAATAACCCTTTATGGTGTTGACTCTAGGTAACAACCCGACTTTTTTCATTTTTCAAGATAAAAATGGTAAAATGTGATATAAAATGCTAATGACTTATTAACCAATAGAAAGCTTTTTCTTTGTCACAACATATTCTGGAGGTCATTTTAACATCTTTGTGTGCTGTGGAGACTGCACAGTTCTGCTTTGAAGAACTTTTTTAAATAGATTTTTTTTTTTTTTTTGATTGACTCATTCGTTAATGACTCACCTTCATTTTACATTTAGAGTAAAAAATGATTTATTTGTATGATTTTGTGTTTCTTAGAAGTGATGGATACAGTGGATGTAACCACTATAAAGAAAACTGCAAATATGATACTGATATGAACTACCAGTAATTAGAGTATAAGTACATTGTCTGCTTAAAGGGATAGTTCCCTCAAAAATGAAAATTACCCTATGATTTATCCTCAAGCCATCCTAGGTGTAAATAACTGTTTTCTTTGTTCAGAGTTATATTAAAAAATGTCCTGGCTCTTCCAAGCTTTATAATGGCAGTGAATGGGTGTTTATATTCAACAGTCCAATAGAAGTCTAATAATAGAAGTCCATCCATCATAAAAACAAGTGCTCCACATGGCTCTGGGGATATAATAAAGGCCTCCTGAACTGTGTTTTTGTACAAAAAAAAATAATATCCATATTCAAAACTTTATAGACCATAATCTTTAGCTTCTGCAAACTGTTGTATGCATTATATCTACCTTTTTAGCATTATTTGTAAGTAATTGGCTGGGAGCCCCTTTGATTAGATTCTGTCACAGCAGTTGAAGTCGGTTACTCTACTGCTGAGTGTATTAAAACTGTTTAATATCCTTGTTCATCACTGATTGTATAACAATAGAATAGAATAGAATAGAATAGAATAGAATAGAATAGAATGATGCACAGTTTTAAAGGGCAAGCTAACAACTACAGTGGGACACTTGCTTCACCATGTGGTGATCCTCAGTTTATTTGTGAAAATAGACCACTATCAAAAACACATGCATGTTATTATGGATATTATAGTATGCATTGACATCTAGAAAAGTGAAAAATTTAAGTTAGTACAAATGCTAGAGCACTGGTACTCAACCAGTGGTCAGAGTGTGTGTGTGTGTTTGTGTGTGAACTTGTTTTTACTACTTTGTGAGGAGCAAAAGACCACACAAAGATTTGAAAATTAGGAAAGTTTGACTTTGTGGGGTCCTTAAATCTGACCCCACAAAAACAAGATATTTTATATAAGACTATAAAATTACTACTATCGTCCAAATACAGCAAACCTACCAGTCCCTGAAAACATTCTTATATTTAAATGGGCCATTCTATAGAATTGGTGCAAACTGCTGTCCCATAACCAAAAAAATAAAATTAAAAAAAACATTTAAAAAAGCATTAAAAAGCAAGTATTCAAATCTTAGATGTTTATTAAGATCCTACTATTATCTATTGAAACCCACAATACTATTTAAAATATTAGTAAGCGTAATATATAAAATCATCATTTATCGGGTACTTTCGATTGGGAAGTGCTGTCTCGAACCCTAACCCCTAAATTTCAACTTGTGAAAATTATATTGGAATAATTTTTGTTCCATTGTTGTTTTTAAAAGTATCTTTTTGATTCTTTAGTAAAAAAAAAATTGTTATTTTATATTTTCTTTGTAAATCATGAAACTTTATGTAAAAAACAAATGTGTCCCACATTTTTCATGTCACTACCGAAGTGTATGTTTTAATCCATTGGCTGAGACTGATTTTAAGTACACTCCTAAATTTATGATCGGGAAATATTCTTGTGTCCCCCTCTCTCATATATACAAGGTGTGAGTAGATAGGTGACATAATTTTGAGTTAAATGTGTTCAAAAATTTGAAAAATCTGTGTGTAACTTTAAGGAACGTCACTACCAAACACCTTTTTTTCTGCAATTAAGCACACTTTTTTGGGAGTTATTCCATAACGTTTAGTTTTTATATGTGTACCACTGTTCACAACTGTGCTAGCTAACCATGTGCTGATTAGCATCTTTGAGCAAGGTTCAAAAGTATCTAAAATTGTCACTACTGAAACAGTCACTACTGAAACATTTGGTAGAGTTTCGGGTAGTGACATCTTTGTTTTTTTTGTTTTTTGGGAGTTATCCCATAGAATTGTCACTACTGAAACAGTCACGACCGAAACATGTCATCATTTTTTTGGTAGTGAGAAAAGGGAATACACAATCCTCATATTTGGGGGAAATAAACAAAATTTTAGTACAGTTATGCTTTTTTTTTGTATTTTAGTATGTTTTAGTAGTGTTTTAGTATGCGAGTTAAAATTTTGTAATGTGATGTAGTTGCTACCAATTATTGTATTACTGTCACTACCGAAAATGTGCAGTCACTACCGAAACATAAACATATACTAAATTTATACTGAATTATCAACTAAGATGTTATGATAGTTTTTGGTTCAATGCATATTCCAACTAATGAATCCTTAACTTTGAAATCAATATGATCAACTTTTTGCCTTTTACAAAGAAAAAATCTGATTAAAAATACAACAAATCTCATAAATTACACTTGAAATATTGTTAAAAATGTAATTGTTATTGATTTACCTCTGAAAAAAAAATTTATAAAATAGCAAAAAATATATTTACAATGCAGATGTAAGCAAAATCGTAATAGGTCAATATAACCCTTCTAATTAAATTATTATTACTGTGTTTCGGTAGTGACAAATTTGGGGAGAGGACAAATATTCTGAATATATATCTGAAAATACAATATGAGAATTAACTGCACAATTACTAGAAATGTGTACCTTGGATATTATACAATTTGCATATATACAAATTTTTTGGAAAAAGACAAAACATTTTCAAGACATTTCCAACTCTGACTTTGGACCAATTCTGTACAACACATGCCAGGTGCACTGTAGGAAAATGTCTA